TAATTTCACAGTCTCGTCGATTGATTTCCCCGCCTTACCTAGCACTCGACGCCTAACCTCAATATTGCTCACCTTATTATACCACTTCACGCGGGAGATAGAACGCAGACACCTATGATCGAAGACAGCTAATCTTTTCATGTCTTCTGCTCTCAATGGCCAGGTCTCAAAGCCATAAAGGAGGACGGAGCGGACTGTTGAGCAGTACACACGCCCTTTGGTCGATAGTCGGATTTCACGTCTAGGCTAGAGACGGCATAAACTGGCATATGCAAAACTAGCCCTCTGTATTCGTGCTGAGATTTCGTCAGAGATCAACCCGTTGGCACTGGCTGATGGTACTTCCCAAGTAAGTGAAGCGGTCAACGTGTTCTACCACTTCACTTCCTATTTCTAATCTAGGGGTCGATGAAGTCCAATCCTGCAGCATCATCTTACATTTTATAGGGGCGAATCGCATGCCAAACATGCGGAGATTGTTGCTTAGGGTGTTCAGTAGACTCTGCATTTTGTCAGAGTCCTCGCCTAGAAGGACTATATCGTCCGCATATTCTAAGTCAACGAGATTATTCCCTGGTAGCAAGTCAATCCCTGAGTCGCTGAAGTGAGTTAGGGATAAGTCCATTAGTACATCTATGATGAAATTGAATAGGAATGGGGATAATGGGCATCCTTGACGGACGCCACTAGTCGTCACCACTTCAGATGACAACTCGCCATAAGCCCTCACCTGGCTGATGGCATGAGTACGAGTAGAGTGCCTTAATCAGTGCAATGTATTTTCTTGGCATTCCCTTTACAGCCAAGCATCGCCAGAGAACCTCCCGGTCGACAGAATCGAATGCCGCCTTTAGGTCAAGAAATATAATGATTGTCGGACGCCGGTAGGAATGCCTATGTTCTAGAATCTGTCGAAGGGTGAAGATGTGATCAATACACCCTCTACCTGGCCTAAAACCTGCCTGGTTTTCTCGTGTTTGTGTCTCCCGAGCACCACTTAATCTACGCAGTATTATTGAGCCTAGGATTTTAGATACTATATTAGTCAAGCAAAAAAAAGGTGCTGATTAGAGAACAAACATGTATCACTCAAAACAGGTAACAGCTTTTGATTTACAATGCTCGAAGTGTCACTAAAACAGACTCGAAATCATCCTAGTAAAAGTGCCTGCCTCAGCGGAACATTTATAAGCAAAGAAAAAATTAGTGACTCTTTAGCTAGCTAGCTATGTGCCATCATGCATTGTGTGCTGTTAAATAGTTGTAATTAACTGCTATAAGACTGTGAATCGATGTTAGTTGTCCTTGTCATTCTTGAAAATGGTACATTTGTGACCTTAGAGTTACCTGGGTTCCTTCAGAAATATAGGTTAATGTGATGTATATATTATAAGTTTGAGTTAGCTCATCTCTATATGGACAATCTCAGTTTTCAGTGGATTGCTTCCTGTCATCTAATTCTCAAAATCCATAACACACTAATCGCTAAGTCATACAATTTCCATAGCCATTTTCCAGGTGGATGTTTTATCATATATATATAGGAAGGTGATGTGGCTCGCTATTTGTCTGCTTATATTGTTCGTCGAGTTAATGGCTGATTCTGGCGCTTTATTTAGTTAGAAAATATATATCTAGTAAGTTTGTTCTGAATTATTGCATCCTCACTGAGCTAGCTAGCGTGAGGCTGATTCTCAGAGTCCAGAGAGGAGTACCACTATGACACAAAGGAGTGACTAAGATGTTGTGAAACAGCTTTGTTGAATTGGTTCTGTCTGCAATAACACAGCATAATCTACTGACAATTGAGAGATTAATGTGCTAGATTTACTAACACATCTCGCTGTCACTATGGATTGTGGAGGATTAGTTCCCTCTTGGTTACTCCTGAAGATCCAATTCGCTGAACTTTGATTTATATGACGTCCTGACTATTTATCGCATTAGTCAATGAAAGTTTTGCAATTACACATCTAAGGTCCTACATTGGTAGACAGTGCTAATTGTAAATGCTCTCAAAAAAGTCGAAAATGTCGATTTAAATCGTCCTAAGATTGTTCAGTACGAAGCTTTTGCCTCGGTTTCATTCATACTGATATTCGCTTAATCTGGATAATAGATTTCCGTTTTATAAGAATGCTACATGCAAATGATGCATAACTCAGGAAGTTTTATCATTCATGCGGAACAGAGTGTTGTGTTCTGTAAACTATACTTGCACCATGCAGACAACATGTACAGGTAACACACATTTGGACTTAAGTGACGAATATTTGCATCAAATATTAGTTTCTGCAATACACACTTTGTTATGCGTTCCTAGGTGAATTAAGAACTGCCCAATCAATCTATCGCTTTTCAAATAACATATCGCAACCTAGGCGTTTTGACTCCATTTCGTATTTCTTTATTTGATGTTGACCAAGTCGAGTTCGAACGAATGTGTCCCTACGCATGTAGTATCAAGGCGCAAGCACAGTCCCACATACGTGCACTAATCATGATAAATTTACTTGTGACCAATAAATATATAAATACTATGCCCACTGACACTCTTTCACTCAATATTACCGGTAACTGCATAAAACTTATCAAAAAGGAAGAGATTTTGTCAAAGTCATTTCCACGAACAATTTTTATTATACAGTTTCAATAAAATAACAACATTCCAATAATAAAAGACTATTTACTTATTATCTTCACGCAAATGGAATTTAGTAGTTCGCTAAGATTTTTTCAACCCTGTCCAACTGACGAGATATATCTTCGTTAATACTGTCATCATCTTCCCAAGGCTCTTTCAATTTATCTCCTCTATCCACTTCAGCCATACTATTCGGCGGTTCCTGTAAATTCTGTTGTTTTGTCTTCTGATTCATTGGTTTGTTGAAATTTTCTGTCAACTCATCACTTTCTGGTGTCTCAGATGCGTAAGGCGCATTGTTCATTGCGTTGTAATCAACAGTTTCTAGTCTGTTTGGTTCATTTTCAGTCGGAATCGGATACTGGCTTGGCAGCATTTCATTCAAATCTTCAGGTGATCCTTTCTCGTGGTCTTGGAGATTGTTTAAAGAATTCTCACTGATAGCATTAATGCTTGTTGTGATTGTGAGTATAGCGTATAACAGTAATACAGGCGACATGCTTTGAATTCCTATAAGGTAGACTGACAAAACTTTGCGAAAATTCGTTATATATATATATGAAATATTTTCAAGGTCGTCGTAAGTGGTGTTCACTTCTGCCCACTTTCAAATTACTTCCATAAACGCCTTTCAATTGGTCAACAATGATTTCTACTCACTTACCTGAATTTTCACATTCGCAATGATTCAGTCGTTCGAATTGCGATCAATATGTCTATCAGTGGTCAAAGTGATGTTCAAAATTTCATTTGCCTAGACATAATTTAGTTTAGTCTATAAATGACTGCTGATTGGTCAGATATTTAAAGATCGATTTTATTACGTTGTGGGAGACTTTTTTTTTTTCCTTCACGTTCCCCAGTGGAACATAGGGCTTCAAGCTAGAGGCTTGAAGTTTCTGTAGCAGTGCTTATTTTACAGGATGGGGTTGCTAGCCTCATGCCCAACCTTTCCTCTTTACCAGCTTTATTTCTGGCTTAGCGAGGTAAAGGAGTGCGTCGGCCGGGGATCGAACCCCGGACCATGTGCATGGTCGGCGAGCGCCCTAACCGCTATACCACCGACGTTGTGGGAGACTGCATTATATTTTTAGTGTTAACAGTGAATTCACACAAAAAATACTGTAGACATAGAAATCGAGTATATGTATATTACAGTTTGCAGCGAAAAGCAATTTTAGTTCTCAGATAAATTAAGTTTTGGTACAATGGAATGCGTTCCTACACACCCATAACGGCTTATATTTAGGAGCGAAACACTATGCACCATGAGGGTGGTGGCATAAATAGAAAAGCAGCACCCATTTCTTACAAAAAATGACTTCAGTTATATCGTTTACTAATAAAATTATGGTAGGACACATTATGGTAAAAGTATAACTAAAAATAACCCTTCACTTCGTATAATTGGAAGGATAGCTTTTACTGAACTAAAGAGCCATAATACAAAAGCTAAAACAACAAGTTTGTATTAAAGCATAGAGGATATACGCTGTATAAAACGTGTTACTTAACAATTTAAGCAATTCTGAATGAGAAGACACCACCATGATGAGGAAATAGAAAACCATTAAGAGTCGATGAAATGAATTTATGTGCAATAGGTTGCTGTTTATTATACAGATAAGAATTGTATTTCTTAAAAAATTGGTCAACGACCAGGCTAAATAGGAAATGGTGCATTAAAATGAACTAATTATCCTGATAACAAATTTTAGACTTTAGAGCTTAACCCCGCGATATGGTGTAGCACATTACAGTCCACCTACCTGAGTTCTAGTAGATTTCGCTTATAACTTTCAAACAAAAAAATGGAACTTGCTTTTCATGGCCAGAGAAAACAATATCGTTAATCCTCGGTCATTTATTGGGAAACCACTGAGATATAGACACATAGGAAAACTATTAAATGAAAAACCCAGTCGTCTGTTTGCCTTTTTTTATCCATTCGTTTTTAAGTTACAACTAATGAAAAAGTATAGTAACTGAAAACTTATATACAGTGTCAGTCAAAAAACTTCAGTCAAGAAACTTTAAAAGTCGAAAAGAATAGTGATGGCCAAACAGAAGCTTGAGTAATGAATATATAACAATTTGAACAAGAAGAGTGTCGCTTTATTTCGTCAATTCATAACATACTTGGGACAGATAAATTGTAAAAACACATAATATCCTGGCTTAATACGATTGTGAGTGTGAGTAAAATTCAATCAAAATGGAGGTAAACCGCGTATATTTGTAAATATCTATAAAGATGACATACAGATAATAACGTCAGAAAACACAAGATGATTTGTGAAGAAAATGTTTATAAAATACACATGTAGGGAATCTCGTACGTTTGAGTAGATCACCTTTAATCTGTAGATGGTGTAAGAATCGAAGATTCACTGTCTACATTTGTGGGTAAGTCGTCAGTTTCTGATTTAGTGCCTAGAAAAGTGAAATGTTGAATAAAAGACAGATGAAAATAAGTATTTGAAAAGAAAATCGTAAACTTGTTAATTGAATGTTAAACACTCAAACTTTTGTCACATTTATCTGATGGTGAGACTATATGGGATGATTTTAGGTAAATCCAAAGGTGAGTAAAAACACATTGGAATTCGACTGTCTCATTCGAACTGATAAATGCTAGAAAACTTATTCCGCCGAGCTCCGAATTCAATGAGGAGCAAAAGCTGCACAAAAGGAAACTTACGAAAAGTCTCCGCAAGGACCGTGAAGTGGTGGGTGACAATGGCGAAAGAGACGGAAAAAGCATCGGCGATAGGCAACACTAAGCAACTCTTTAGACTCATCAGAGAAACGGGTGGGAGAAGGCAAATCATAAGTGAGACTATTTCTGAGAAAAATGGCTCCTTAATTAGCTCTCAGGATAGATGCCTTGAACGCTGGAAAGAACATTTTGAGGAACAATTAAACTTGCCTACAGCCACACTGAACCTCCCCGCCATCCAGCACACACCCGAATGGGATATAGACACTGGTCCGCCGTCTGTAAGTGAGGTCACAAAAGCTATCTGTAATTTGAAACGAGGCAAAGCGGCAGGACCCGACGGAATTATTCCGGAGGTGTTTAAATATGGGAGAGACATACTAGTAAGTAAGTCACGTATTATACCAATATTCAAGCAGGGAGACAAGTCCTCATGTGATAATCATAGAGGAATCAGCCTGACGAACATAGTTTCTAAAATCCTAGGCTCAGTAATTATGAACAGACTAAGCCGAACTCGGGAGGAACAAACGAGGGAAAATCAAGCAGGCTTTAGGCCAGGTAGAGGTGGTATAGATCATATCTTCACTCTCCGACAGATCCTAGAACATAGACACACTTTTCGGCATCCAACAATTGCCATATTTCTTGACTTGAAGGCGGCCTTCGACTCCGTGGATCGAGAGGTACTATGGCAATGTTTGACTGTGAAAGGAGTGCTAAGAAAGTACATTGCACTAATCAAGGCACTCTACTCAAACTCACGTAGCCGTGTAAGGGCTTATGGGGAATAGTCATCTGAATTGATAACAAACAGTGGTGTCCGTCAAGGATGTCCACTTTCCCCTTTTCTGTTAAACTTCATCATAGATATGCTAATGGAAGTATCCTTAACTGAACTTAACGACTTAGGAATCGACTTGTTACCAGGGAATAGTCTTATAGACTTAGAATATGCAGACGACATAGTCCTGTTTGGGGGAGGATGCTGACAAAATGCAGAGTCTTCTGAACACCTTGAGCAGCAATCTTCGTATGTTTGGCATGCGATTCGCCCCTGTAAAATGTAAGATACTGATACAGGACTGGACTACGTCTACCCATAGCTTAGTGATAGGGTGTGAAGTGATAGAACATGTTGACCACTTCACCTATTTGGGAAGTTGTATCAGCACCAACGGATTGATTGGCGACGAAATCTCAGCACGGATCCAAAAAGCTCGAGCTGCTTTCGCTAACATACACCGTCTCTGGCGTAGGCGTGACATCCGGCTATCAACCAAGGAACGTGTGTACTGCTCAGCAGTTCGCTTCGTCCTTCTCTATGACTCTGAAACATGGCCAATGCGAGTTGAAGACATGAAAAGGTTGACTGTTTTTGATCATAGACGTCTACGATCTCTTTCTCACGTTAGGTGGTATAATAAGGTAAGTAATGTTGATGTTAGGGGTAGAGTGTTGGGCAAGAAGGGAAAATCAATCGACGAGGCTATAAAGTTACACATAGATTGAGATGGCTAGGTCACGTGCTGCGCATGCCTAGTCATCGCCTCCCTCGACGGGCATTACTAGCTGATATCGGTGCAGGTTGTAAAAGAGTAAGTGGTGGCCAAACAAAAACATGGCCTCATCAATCCATGAAATCCTTGACAGTTAAACTGAGTCAGGTAGGGAGATGCAGACTTCTGGGTTGGGGCCCTCGAGACTCTAAGAATCAATGGCTGGAGACAATAGGTGACATGGCTCAAAATCGTTGTCGATGGCGCAGATCTATTCAGTCTATGTAATCTTCCATATTCCTTTCTACCATTACTCATTCACTTTCACTCTTATACTTGTCAAAACTGTATTGATTCTGAACGAAGAATATTCTTTCAATAATTTCTCTTCAGGTTTTTACAATTATAAAATATAATATTTGTTGTCGTTACAATATAGGCCAGTTATACGGCAGATACATTTTTAACGTAGAATAACAGATTAGTTATGGAGTGTCAAAATAAATAGTCGTATTTGTGTGACAAACGTGCTAGGCTGAATTCGATTACAAAATATTGTAAAAAGGGAGACAATGGTGATTAATCATAATAGATTTGTAGAGTGTGGGGTAGGAAAATTGACAAGTCAGTTCAAGGTTATAAAAGGTGTCAGGTAAGTGGCTAGTACAAAGTGGTCTGTGTTAAACAGGAGATAGGAAGACTGCAGTGGGAGGTTCATAATGAGACAACGTATATGTGAAGTGAAACACGTGGAGGCATATATTGAGAAAAGAGATAATATCACTAATAATAAGTCCGGATAGTATAAACGAAAAATCCGATAGTATTGAGAGAATGTTTGCATGAAGGGCATAAATTATGAATAATAATAACAGTAGCAATAATAATAATTGTAATGATAAGCAAAGGAAAAAAACCAAGAGGGTTAAGGGGAAGGAGCACTCTTGGTGAGAAGAAGAATCATCAATCCAAGTTTGGCCACGGTAGGAACAGCGTCTGGACGTGTCTCCCGTTTTACAATATTTTGTAATCGAATTCAGCCTAGCACGTTTGTCACACAAATACGACTATTTATTTTGACACCCCATAACTAATCTGTTATTCTACGTTAAAAATGTATCTGCCGTATAACTGGCCTATATTGTAACGACAACAAATATTATATTTTATAATTGTAAAAACCTGAAGAGAAATTATTGAAAGAATATTCTTCGTTCAGATTGAATTTTAATTCATAATATAGGAATTTTCCACACTATCAAATCTATTGATTCGCTTCACTCATCTTCTTGTCTACCTTTGTGTGCTATTTGGAACGTGGCAACTCGAACTGCTGCACTTCGGTGCCAAGTTCTATGTTGAATCCAGACAGACAGACAGACAGACACACCACTTAATCTACGCATATAATTACTCAGCCTAGAACTTTAGATATCATATTAGTCAAGCTAATCCCTAATACTGTCATATTTACTGTACATATTATGATTAAAAGTTCATATTCTTTTCACACCTCCAACCTCTAACAGCTATATCATCATTTAATTTTTAATTTTAATTTTTTTAAATTTTTGTTTACAGCTTGATTCCACACCGTATTTTCAGTACAAGTATGGAATTTTCAGCATGGATATCGGTAGCCCAAATTCAGGCCGACCATAGATATCGGGTGTGCGCCGGCAGTGGATCGAACCCCGGACCATGTGCATGGTCGTCGAGAGTCCTAACCACTGTGCCGCCGACGCACGAAGAATGACGAAGAGAACTGCCACACAGTATACACATTTTTTTCGCTGATGGTCAAATATCAGGCCAGCACCCAAAATGAAGCGAATCGCCAAATACTAAATTAGCATTTTCTATACATACTGGAATTTTGTCATCAATCAGATCATGACAACTGGTGGAATTCCCCAAATAAATTAAGTCGACAACACATTCAACCACTTTACTCCCAACAGCTAAAGTAAGAGTCGCTGCAGACCAACTGTGCATCATCATCATCATTATCTTAAATTTACTAAGGACGGAATCCCTACCCAAGTTAATTAGATTTTCTACCAAAGATTTGCATAGGGCGTTAAGAAGACTACATTTTCGTCAGTTTTCATCTAGTGCTGTATCATCGGCACACTCTAACTCAACGAAAGTTTTCCGTGATATGTAACAGCTCCCTGATAGTGCGCAACACTGACCTGAACAACTGGTTGTCATTACTTCAGAAAAAAGCTCAACATGAGACCTTTAGGTTTGTATTAGTCCGAGTAGTGCCTCGATTAGTATAATATACTTTCTCGGTACTACTTTCCCCAAGGCCAAATGCCATCTTCGTATCAGGAGATACATGAATTGTTTATTTACGGAGCAACAGTAAGAACTACTACAACGTGTGTATCCGAAAATTTGTTTTAAAACAAAATTCCGACATACGCATGTATGAGAATAGAACTCACTTTGTGTTCTTTCGTCACCTTTACCGATAAAAGAAGAATCATCACCCTCTTCTGGATTAGCATTCTTACGGGAATGGATGACAGGAAAATCTCCAGGACTGTTTGACGCGCTATTAGTTTCCTGAAGACCAGTAAGCTCTGAGTTCAAACGACTATTAAAAGTGGTTATACGTGAACTAAGAGCCTGAAAAAGTCTATCTACTTCTTTGTGTGAATGCATCACAAGTAAGTAAGCACAAAACTCCGGTTTTAATGCAGCAGAATTGGTTGGACATGAGATCTGTTTTAGAAAATAAGGAAAAATACGATGAACCATTAGTACATTTGTAGCAAACGCAAAAGGTTAGGTGCATTAAAATTCTGAAATACCAACGATACTTTTAACCCACCGCCATGATTGAGGAATTTTTTTTTTACACTTCAGTGACTTTTTCCCAACTAGTACACAGTGATATTGTAAGAAGAGAAAAGTTATGCTATTAATACAAAGCAGATTTCGCACTTACATGTCCCTAAAATTCACTGAATTTCTATTATTACATATCAAATCATAATGTCTAACATTATGAATGTTTTACTACTAACCTTAGAATTAAGTACTTATTGCGTTTACAGCTTAAACTTTTTTATACCTGAACGAGATAATTTACAAACATCTAGTGAAGATTGGCTATCAGCACAAATTGCTTACACAATCTGTGTTGTATATTCTGTCTTCATATCATTTCCACGTCTCATAAATAGAACCTTTTGTTTCAGAAAGCAAGGAACTACCATTGAACGTTTCCATTACATCAATGGTTCGCATGAATAATTTCAGTAGAATGAGATTCAGAAAATTTGAGAATCTATGCCAGTCTGTTACTGCATTCGAAACACATTTTGGTTTGTTGGACTGGCTACATCGAAATGAACAAGGGCATAGACCTGTGTTTACCTCGGTAACCTAAACAACTCCGCGTGAAGATCTTTCTCAAAATTGTTTATTTACCACGATATCTGGTGAGTGGCGACTGGGTTTTAAAGAAGTCTAATAAAAAATTCAGGCTTTACAAGGATCAATTAAAGTTGCAGTATTAAATCAGCTAGTCTTCTGAGTCTACATTTGGAGCATTTCTTACCTACGATATGATCTCTGCTTGAGACTATGTAAAATGATAGTCTCCTCATTATAACAGAAAACTGAGCACGTAAAAAAAAATCAAACATGAACTGCTATATAGAGACGATCGTGGGTCATCAAAGCTAGCGATACAAATTCTGAACAAACGACTGTAATTTAAGCGGTGGAAACATCTTACGTAGTTTATACAAGATCTTTAACTAGACAACCCCAAATACGAACCTCAACCCGAATACTTTTATCTGCATTGATGCACAATCAAGATCACTACCGATCAATAGACATGGAAAATTACTTTAAGTTAAGACGTAGGAGGATTCGCTCCTCAAGTTTGTTGCCCAGTATTATGACTGTTCATGGTCATAATACGATAGCCAGAGTTGACGAATTTCTTAGGAAAGGAAATACAAGATATAAGTTCGTTAGTCCTTTTTACAACAGAATATTCCAATGGAAGCATAAATCACAACCATCTTCCTCCGTTGGCAAGACATAAAAAATTCAGGAAGTTGGGAAAACTGTAAAATGTTTATCTACGAACAGCGTCTTTTACACACTTCACTAACAAACAGTTATAACCAAGTCAACTATGCCTTAAAAGCCTGTCACTACTAAATCAGAAGCCAAATTTGCCAAATATAAGCAAAAGCGACTAACTCGCGTTAAAACAACTACAGAAAGATAGATAAATTGTCATTACAAGCGCAGATAAAGGCAATACCACGGTTGTTACGAATTCTGTAGGTCATGAGAAGAAAACTATGGAATACCTTATTATTGGACCCTATGAAAAAGTCAACATGACGAAGTCAAGGACAACAATGAATAAATTAAAGGCTGAAACAATCAAAATGTTACAGTCAATAAAAGAGAAAATCAGTGTATCCGTTTAGTTTACTCTGGCTCAAAAACGTCGCAGTCCCGGTAGACTTTATGGATTACCGAAAACACGCAAACCAGATGTTCCATTAAGTCCAGTTGTGAATTTTACTTATTCTCCAGCCTACAAACTCTCCAAATACATCCCACGAATATTAAATCCATATGAAATGGAAGTGGAATGTGGAGTGAAGTATTTGCATGAATTTAAGACAAAAATCAACACGCCTTATAGGGAAGATGAAATAATGGCAAGTGTCGATGTTTATTCATTATCCAGCGATGTCCCCATTAAAAACCCTTTAAGTATTATTTATAATCTACTTCGTTATGACAACGCACTCAGTGTTTATTGTCCTTTAAATCCGGATGAAATTATAAAGGTGTTCGAATTGTGTTTACGATCCACGTTATTTACATTTAGAGGGGTTCTTAACCTCTACACAGAAGGATAGCTCTTGGATCACCGCTTGTCGCCAATCTGTTTATGCACTCATCAAAAACATATGCAGTTTTGAGATGCTCTAGTGCTCCAAGAATATAGTTAAGATACGTGGATGATACCTTCGTCATAATCAGACGCAACATGTTGAATGAACTTTTTCATATAATAAACAATATGTCAGAAACCATTAAGTTTTCCAGACGAAAATGATTTGGCATTCCTGGACTGTTTAATAAAATGATAAATAGACGGCAAACTTAAACATTTTCACAAAGGTCAACACATTTGGACAGATACTTAGACTATTTCTCAACACATCGCTTTACCACCAAAGTAACTTTGGCCTAGAATCTGATTAACAGAGCCAAACGTCTAGTTAATGAGGAGGAAGAGATCAGCAGGGAACTAAAATTTGTTCATTCCACTCTTGAATCAAATTATTATTCCAAGGCCTTTAAAAAAATATTTAAAATGTGAAGATAAGGATGAATCAAAACCTGTTGCTAAGACTTGGGTTAGCACAGTGGTGATTCCTTACTGCGAAGAAACATCGGATGAGATAAACCAAATCCTTAACAATCATGACGCAAGAGTGTATTTTCGTGCAACGGACACCCTACGATCACTACTGGTGAAGGTTAAGGATAAAAAAGAAGAAGACAACCAACAGAATTATATGTACCAGATCAACTGTGGGGATTGTGACAACGTAGGAGAAACTTCCAGACAGGTAAATATAAGAGTGAGGGAGCATAAACTTCTACAGACTTAAGCTAGAAAGCGGATCGGCGATTACACTGCACTCGATAGAAACTGGACACAAGATTGACTTTGAAAGGACTAAGGTTCTAAAGAAAGGTTTCGATTCGTATAAAGAAATACTGACTGCAGAAGCCCTACATATATTGGTGAATCCCAACAGCTTGAACAGGTGTAATGGTGTGGTGTTAGCTGATCCATTGTAAGTTCTGATTAATAAATAAAGACGGATATGGATCACTAACTTATCACACTAAATCTAAATTTCCAAACTGCTTATATCTTCTTATGGAGGCTAACAAGTGATTTACAATTTTCCCCTCATGCACACACATACCGCATGTAAATATATATATATATATTTTATATTCACTTATCTATAACTATGAATTATAGTCGAACGCAATCACTTAAAATCTTATGCAAAAGTACGCAGTTTACAGTGAATAGCAAAAGTACACTTAAAATTGTAAGTATGTGGTCTAATTTTGTTCACAATTCATGCAATCTTGACTGGTTGGAGGATTTCATCACGAGCTGACATCAGTTAGAGAACCATTGGAAAACCTGGGAGTACTGGACAGCTGTTTCATCCTAGTTTAGGGCTCTTCAGCAGTACGTAGTTTTATTTATAATATTTTGATGTCTGTTGATGACTCATATGATTGGACAAGGATTATAAAGACAAGCTGTGCCCTTTTATTTATATACATGTCTTATTTTAATTTTGATTAATTTCCCTGAAGAAGTTCGGAACAGTTTATCGGGAGAAACGTTGGAATTACTTACTTCGATTCCGCTGAAGTTTTACAAATAGGATTTTTATTTAGGAAATACAAATTTAGAAGTAATGACGTTAAAGAGTTTCACTCTATGGATATGGGATACACAAGGATAATAGATGTTCAGCAGGAAACCATAGTGAGGCCATTGAGGTGATAGTAAAAAATTAGACCAAACATAAGCGACTGGTGATACGAATTCACCTAGATAGTAACTCATCTTATTTTGTGATTCACTCACTTTCTCTGATGGATGACAAACTGTCGTGAGTCGAATTGAACGTTCATCAGCCATCGTAACATTTAAACCTGACCAAACAGGAACATTTGCTAAGAGTTTCAGTGTTTGACAAGTACGAATCACTAAACGAGAACGGGCAGGTGGTCCAAACGGAAAAGGAGACATCTGACTGGCAACAGACGAAGGCTTCATCGCTACGTCATTTAGATGTATATAGGCCTGCCCTCGTCCGACCCACTCATGTTTGTGACGATCAAAGCAGTAGAAATGGCAATATGCCTTCAAAGTAAGGTACTCTCCTTCTTCCCCAGTGAGGATAGGCGATTCTGGCAGATTGGCTAGCAAATAAGTAGATATTTCAAGCATTTCAGAGGCGACAGCAGCTGCGGATTCTTCTAAAGTTTGTTTACTAGGGAGAATAGAGTAGTGTTCACCGATCTCGGAAGGATCTGAAGGTTCTTCGCTTTCCGGGGACAATGTGCGGACGTTTGGCTCTGGTGATTCGCTTGGGAGGTCTCTAGAAGTATCGCGGCTTCCCGTTGTGGTTGAAGTATTTGTGACTCGTTCCGAAACATTATGCCCAAATACGAAATCTGCACACCTATTATTTGAGACTGAACTAATAGACATGCTTTTGGAAGATACGTTTGAAGATAGTTTAGGGGAATCGACAATTTTAGTATTATTTGGCAGTGTAGGGGGTTCAGCTGCACCAGATGGATTACTTTCATATAGACGCTTTACAACATTATCCAAAGGTGAAGATCAAGTGGCTGCCCGGCCAGAAACAAGAAACTCTGCAGTGCAATCATCGAACTAACCAAGAGCCGATTGCTCAACAGATATGCCGAGTAAAATGGAGATGGATCGAAAATTCGTTGGGTAGGCCGTTGAATGACATCGCCCTTGCAATGCAGGCCATCACTCAAGGAGTATTCCTATGCGAAGCGACGAATGGGTCGTCGGTAGGAGGGTAGGGTGACAAGGAAGAGATCGTGTGGGGAGGATGAGATGAGAAACTAGGGACAGTCGTGGACGCACCTGAAGAACATAGCAGAAAATAAAACAAGGTGGAGGTGTGCTGTTGAATCTCTATGTTATATTTGAAACCCAAGCGAATAATAATAATAAACAATATGGGGGCAATAATCAAAACACGACATTTACATTGATAACATTGCTTAACAAGAATATGAAAATAAAATTAAAATTCAGGTGAAAGTATTAACAGTGATACAACAAAGAAAGAAAAAAATAAAGAGGTCCTCTTACTTAACGTTTTCGAGTCAGTTAGTCGTGTCCTGCCTGACAAACATTTCTCATCACATAAAATATGTCCAGGCCAAATAAGGTACATCATGTAGTTATAATACTTAGTCTTATTTTCTGTAGTTGCTTCTAGTTCCCCTACCTGATTAGATGCAAGCAGACAGTTGTCTGTAAAGAGACTGCCTCAGGCTCCAGCAAGATAATATTTGCCAATTTCTTGCATCACTCCATGTGTCTACCTACAACAGCATCAACAAGTTGCTTCAGAGACACTCCACTCGCCCCACTGACAACTTTTAGTGCCCTTCAAAATATAACAAAAATCTTTCTTAAGTAACCCAGGAAAGATCAATGCAGGTGGGTTCCAATGAATAATAATAGGTAAGATGTAAGAGTTACCTAAGTGTAGAAGTAGCTACTGAGTGATGCCAGATCGCTCAAATGTCCACAGGTATAACGTCAAATGAAATGTCCTTCTAGAAGCTAATATGATTTAGGAGGAGATCAGGAAAGATCAAAAGAAATACGCTATCCGAGGTATTTAACACTCCACTAAGTTTCAACTTCAATGCCATCTATGACAAGAAAATCATGGGAACGAACCAGTTCATGTAAATCGTGCTTGTGTCTGAATTTGAAGTTGACAACCTGAGATTTGGAGAGATTTGGCTTAAGATAATGTGATAAGGACCACTGGCTAATTTTCGATAAAAAGTTATTCATTTCGCAACAGTTTGGGTGAGTAGTGACCGGCATGGAAACAGTCAAATTATCGATGTACTTAACAAAATTAGCCTCATCAGAATGGCGCAAGTTAATGTAAGAAGAAAGAAATCAGAAGAGGATAAAGGACAGCTCCCTGAGGAACATCAGCCAGAGTAAGTGAAACAATGGAGGAATTCCCAATGCATGCAGTGTACTGCTTCCTATCAGAAAAGTAAGAATGTAAAGACTTGTTAATCCAGCAGCCTGCTTGTGTCACAACAAACTTGTTTAGTTATAGAGTCCAAGGCAAATGTATAGTCAAGGAAGGCAAGCCGAACATATTTGGCACCTCTATCTAAATTAGAGACAGCATTATGATGAGAGGTAGCAGTGACATCTAAAGTGTACCTACTATGCTTCTAAGTAAATTGTTTTCCATTATTTCTAAAAGAGGTGCGGGTAACGACAATAGGTCTAAACCTTACACTTGGTCCACTTAATAATTTAGGCACAGGAACAATTTTAATATCATCCCAAGAAGCAGTCACAGCATTTGTGGAGAATGATTCATTGAAAATGCCATAAGGAAGACGACATAAAATGTCAGTACATTTTCTGAGGATAATAATGGGCACGTCATCTGGACCAACGGACTGGGAGGTTTCAATGATTGGAAATACTTGAGGACATCGTTTGTATTAAAGCCAGGAACGTAGTCGCTTTGAAATCATAAAGTCTGCTGGAGGACATATGAAGGACTTATTAAGCACACCAGCAAAAACTGAAGAAGGATCATTATTTATTTACTTACCGCCAGTGATTTCCTCAAGCAGCTCGCACATATAAGATGAAGTTTTACATGATAAGAACTTTTGGTTATCGATCACATTTAATCTTTGTATTTCTGATTCGATTTAAATGTTCAGTCCCTTAAAACCAAGATTAACTTCCATTTACTTTATATAATTATCTTTTTTTTGTTAATTTTATCATTTTTAATTAGAGTTTATTCTGACAATTTTGTCTCCTACCTTGATTTTGTCTTTAACTACATTCTTAACCAGACCATTTCTTGACCTTTGTTCAATTAATTTATAAGTGTATTCAAGTATTGGTTTGTAGGCGTTTGATTGATTGGTTACAGGATTTCATCATGAGCTGACATCGGTTTGAGAACCATGAGAAAGCCTGAGAGTTTTGGACATCTATTTCGTCTTAGTTGGGACTCTTCCCCAGTACGCACCCACCGACAGGGTTAGAACCCAGGACCTATTGGATACAAGGCGAGCTAGCTCGTAGACAATTAAGCCACTGGGACCCGACCCAATGGCTGATGAATTCCAGCTTCTGCCAACTGTTGGTTTTATATCTCTGTTCAGTCTTCACATTTGTTTGTAATTCTGGAATATTTCGTAATGATTCTTATATATGCACTAACGAGCTTAACAGTGGCTTATATAACTTTCTGTCATTCTACTAAATCACGTGATGTTAATATTCATCATCTTCGTGATGAGTAAAGTATCAAAGCCAGAATAGGACAGGCGTGGTATGTCTTCATCATTATGAAATCAGTTTGGAAATCTTCTGCACTCTACTGGGGCATCAACAACAAAAATTTAGATTTTCAACACAAAATGTTAAGTCAGCGAGTTATTCTTTATCGGTCACAGACTTGGAGCGTCACGAAAGTCGTTTCCAGTAGGTTGCAGACTTTCACAATAAGCCGCTGCCGTTTCTGGTTTCAAATGTGAACAGAGTAAGGAAAAACCCTGTTGCTCAACAAATATGTCGGGGAAAAAGGAGACTGACTGGACAAAACCTGAGGAGATGGTTGAGTGACATCGAGCTCCAGGTCGGCGCTCAAGTGGAATCCCATAGGAAACGAATAGTTCGACCTGTGTCCAAGAGTGACATGGAGGAGATCGCATGAGTTGGAGGAGATGATAGACTTTGAGGAACTGTGGCTCAGTTAAAGAAGACGGCAGTTGATAGGACAAAGTAAAGATGTGTTTTTGAAGTCCCATGTTCCACTCGGAACCCTGGGGTATCCACCTAGATTCATCGACAAAAACATGAAAGAAAAGCCACAGTCGCCAAGATTCACAACTGTTCGTAAGAAATCACTCTTTATGAACCTGGAATTCAAAGGTGACATCGAAGCAGAAATTCTTAGAAACTGCCTTTCTAAATGTCTGAAGAAGACATTTCAAACAGCCACCTTACGTATCACATTCTCCAGCAGACAGTTAATCCAGTCTAACTTTAAGGATAAGGTACCTCTTTTGACCACCTCAGTGTGTATTTATCAGTTTACTTGCCCATGTGGGGCAAAGTATATCGGCCGTACGCAACGTCAAGTCCACAAATGTATTCTGCAACACTGTCCAGCTTGGATAGCCAGTCAGAGGAGAAAAGAAGAATACTAGCAGCTCCATCCTCGAACACCTTTTCATCTCCGGATATCGAGCACTCCAGCATGAATGCTTCACAATGCTACACAAAGTCCCTCAATATCGTACAGAGGGACTTCGCATACTCCATCTGTACATGGCTGAATCGTTGGTTATTCAGGGTCTGAAACTGGATCTTTGCATTCGAAATCACTGCATACATTCACTCAGCTTACCATGGCTAGAGTAGCGTCCTTACTATAAGTTTGCTACTTTTTATTATGTAGGTTTACTGTTATTAATATTACTATTCTCGTCATACTCATTTTACTATCACTCTATTTTTTTTCCTTCACGTTCCCCAGTGGAACATAGGGCTTCAAGCTAGAGGCTTGAAGTTTCTGTAGCGGTGTTTATTTTACAGGATGGGGTTGATAGCCTCATGCCCAGCCTTTCCTCTTTACCAGCATTATTTCTGGCTCAGTGAGGTTAAGGAGTGTGTCGGCCAGGGATCGAACCCCAAACCATGTGTATGGTCGGCGAGCGTCCTAACCGCTATACCACCGACGCAATCACTCTATTACTGTTTATTAATTACAGTTTAATTATACAGCTTTTATATAAAAGTATTTTGCTGTCTTTCCACTAGTTCTCGTCCACTCTACACAACCATAATAATTAGTCACTTTTATCACACTTATTACGTTAGGCCAACTTTTGCCCGTTTTTCTAACTTCCAATTAGTCACCCCTTCTAGATTACACCTTAAATTGCGTAACATGTTTTTTGAGAACAAATTTTACCAGTAGCTGATTGGTTGGTCTTATGATTTCTTCGTTTAATCTAATTACAAATGTACAGCAGCTTCTGAAAATGAATCCTTGAAAAGAAAATTTTCTTCTTCACTGTTTATGTCTTTTTCTTATAATAATAATAATTTTAACAAAGCAAGAACTACAGTTTTAGCAGAATAAAATGGTACCATCATTGTTTATTTCGTTGCCTTCTCATCAGCTGCTCACAGGCCAAAGACATTACTAAATATATCTACAATTTTAACATACTTGCACAGAGTTCATTTTAAACAAAAATCCGTCGATCAATATACACATACACTAATAATATATACATGTATACATGTAATATTAAAACTACTCCGAACAATAATAATCATACACAATGGAAACTTTTCAGCATTACGCATTTAGATGAAAGAGAGATGAAAATATCCAGTTACCAGGTTAGCAAAGAAAGACTGATAACCGCTTCTTTCTGAACGCATAAATCAGGTTTCAGGCGCTTGATGGAAATGGCTTCAGAAAACTTGAGGAGAATTGAGTTCTTTTGCCTACTGGTAATTTTTAACGACTTTTCGACGTCCACCTCATGACCCAT